TTCTCCCACAGCCACTTCTATCACTATTTATTCCAGCATATACTGGAATTATTTTATTGGGCTGTTGTAGGTTTTTCTGGGCTATCTGGCCATGGTCTAGAAGCATTCTCTCCTGACGTTTTGCCTGCATCTATGGCAAGCATCCTCAGAGGTAGTGAGGTCTGTTGGAACTAGGAAAAAGGGGTTTATATATCTGTGGAATGACCAGGGTGGGACAAAGGACTTTTGTCTGCTGGAGCTAGGTGTGAATGTTTCAATTGACCACCTTGATTCATTTAATGGATTGGAAGTGCCTGGGGGGAATCTTTTGTTGAGAGTGATTTGATGTGCCTGATTGTTTACTCTCTGTTGTTTTGCTGTTGTAATTGTAGAGTTTTTTAAATACTGGTAGCCAGATTTTGTTCATTTTCATGGTTTCCTCCTTTCTGTTGAAATTGTCCACATGCTTGTGGATTTCAATGGCTTCTCTGTGTAGTCTGACATGGTGGTTGTGAGAGTGGTCCAGCATTTCTGTGTTCTCAAACAAAAATGCTGTGACCAGGTTGGTTCATTAGGTGCTCTGCTATGGCTGAATTATTTTATTGTTGGTATTTGCACCTTCAAGGTAAATCTGGAATGTGGAGGAAAGAAAATCAAAATTCATGATGCTGGCAAGATGCAAGACAGCAACCCAGATTTAAAATGAGCTGGACGTAACTTTAGCCATCTTAATCGTTCTTAAAGAAGTTGAAAACCAAGCCTTACTTTGTTTTTAAAGCCAGTAAGTAAAGCCTGCCAGGATTTTCTTTTTAAAATGAATCTGAAGAGTCTGGGGTACAGGGATGCTTAAAATAAAACATAGGAGTGAAAGCCTTAATTATGTCTTGCATGAGCTGTCAAGAGCGAGCAGCTGCAGAAGAGGAAGACAAAGGGAGGATCAGTCAATTTTATGTATATTTTTTAAAAAGAGAGAGAAATTGCTGTTAGAGTGGGGGAGGAAAGATGACATGCTCAAAATGGTAAGCAGCTCAGAAAGCCTGAATTAATCTGCCAAGATGCTGAGAATGAGGAATAATTTTAATTCAGATTATTCTTTTTCACCTCAGTGGCTGTAATGCATATTACTCTGATCTCCCACTTGCTAGCCTCTTATTTTCTATTTTACATGGATCATTTGACCTCATTTGAAAGTCTTGCCTCTTTCGGCTTCCCTCTACCACCCTCTTTCTTCAAAATGCAGTGAACACCAGGCCAAAATCTCCAAGATGAACGGAACCACCTCAACTGGGCTCTCCAGGCCAATGGAGACTCCACCTCAGACATCAGAAGAGCTGCAAGACCAAGAACAAGCCACGAGAGTAAAGATGAAGATCCACCCAGAGGAAAAGTGTTCCTG